GCTAACCAGGTTGCATCTGTGAGATGTCTTGATGGTCATGTGCTTGGACTCTATGAACCTTCATAGGTTCTATTCAATTCATTAGCTTACTGAGCTTGGATTATGTCTTAATGGATTTGATTTTGATTTTACCAACCTCGTTTAATAAATAGATCATTGATGGTTGAACAATGTTCAAAATTTCACTAAGGGCTAATCGGATGTTTAATCGACAAATCTGAAAGCAAATGAACTAAAACAAAAATCAAGGTACTGCAATTCTTATTCCGAAATATCTGAACAAAATACTCGTGAAACAATTTGGTTTGAATCCCATTTTCAATTGCTTTAAAAAAGCAAGACAGAGAGTTTTTAAGAAAACAAAGAAACCTCAATGGAGTGTTGGATTGTTCTTCCTAGCAAGCTTAGTCCATTCGGTGTGGTACGCACCAGGACGATCGGTTCTCTCATAAGTATGAGCTCCAAAGAGATCTCTCTGCGCCTGAACCAGATTTGCAGGTAATCTAGCGCGCCTATAAGTATCGAAATACGCAAGACTCGCGCACATCCCAGGCGTGCTTATCCCCGCAGCAACAGCCAAACCAACCACTCTTCTCCAAGCAGCTTGTCTCTGAACCATCTCTTTAGCAAACTCAGGATCAACCACAAGGCTTGCCAAATCCGGGTTTCTCTGGTAAGCTTTCTTGATCCTATCCAAGAAAACCGCTCTTATGATACAGCCGCCTTTCCAAATCCTAGCTAACTCTCCGAAATTCAAGTTCCAGCTCTTCTCTAAGCTCTTAGCTCTAAGCAGATTCATCCCTTGAGCATAACTGCAGATTTTCGATGCGTATAGAGCTTGTCTAACATCATCAACCAATCTCTTCTTATCGATTCCGCTCGACGCAGAACCAATCTCTTCCTTCAATCCAGCTTCTTTCAACACTTTCTCAGCATTTTCCCTCTCGTCTTTCAATCCGCTCAGGTACCGACAATCCAACGAAGCAGCAATCGTCGGAGCAGCCACAGAGAGCTCCGCCGCTTGCTGAACAGTCCATTTTCCGGTACCTTTCATGCCGGTTTTATCCAAAATCTTATCTACTAACTCTCCATCACCAAACTCATCCTTAACCCTAAAGATATCAGAAGTAATCTCAACTAAGAAACTCTCAAGCTCACCTCGATTCCACTCAGTGAAGATCTCCGCAAGCTCCTGGTTGCTCAATCCACCAACGTTCTTCAACACATCGTAAGCTTCAGAGATCAATTGCATATCTCCATACTCAATCCCATTATGAACCATCTTCACGAAATTCCCAGATCCACCTTCTCCGATGTAAGTAACACAAGGTCCATCTTCAACCTGAGCAGCGACTTTCCCCAAAATGTCTTTGATGTTATCATAAGCTTGAAACGATCCTCCAGGCATTAGCGAAGGACCGTTACGAGCTCCTTCTTCGCCGCCGGAGACTCCCATACCTAAATACAACAATCCTTTCTTCTCCGCTTCAGAGATCCGTCGCTCTGTGTTCTGATACCATTCGTTTCCACCGTCGATTATGCAATCACCAGGCTCCATGTATTCGGAGAAGGCGTCGATTGTTTGGTCAACGGGAGCTCCGGCTTTGACGAGGATGATAACGGATCTAGGTCGTTGGATGGAGAGGATGAAATCACGCGGCGAGTATTGGCCGGAGACTGGGAGTTTTCCTTCAACGGTGGCTCGATCTAGAGTTTCGTCGACTTTGGAAGTGGTTCGATTGTAGACTGAGATCGGGAAACCTTTATCGGCGATGTTTAAGGCGAGGTTTTGGCCCATGACGGCGAGACCGGCAAGGCCGATACGGGATAGAGAGGCGGACTCCATTGGAGAGAAGCTTTTCGGAGTTTG